CAGCAGAGAGACACCATCCCTGCTCCTTTGCTCTCCCCACCTGGATACCAGGACCCCAGGATCTCTCCTGGCCTCCTCCTCAGTGCTCAGAACCAGCCATGGGTGGAATGTGCCTGCAGATGACTCCTGACCTGTGCACCCCTCTCCTCCGGTACTGCCTGCCCCTTCCCCTTCAACAAGGCTTGTTGCAATGGACTGCTTGGGTCTTCTGCTCCTTCTCCTCCAGGGAGTGAAGCAGGCGGGGTGGAAGACCTTTTGAAGGTTCAAGGTATCTGTGCTGGGTTTATGTGGTGGGGTTTTGGTGGCAGGAGAAGGGCTGCAGAGACAGTTTTTTTGGCTGCTTCCCCAGCTCCAAAAACCAGTCAGGCTCGCCTCTGTCCAGAGACAAGCTAGTCAGTGCCTCGGCGAATGCAGCCTTCCACTATTTAAAGGCGGCCTACAGGAAAGCTGGAGAGGGACTTTTTACAAGGGCGTGTAGTGACAGGACAAGGAGAAATGGCTTTGAACTGAAAGAGGGCAGATTTAGATTAGGTAGAAGGAAGAAATTCTTCCCTCTGGGGTGGTGAGGCACTGGAACAGGTTTCCCAGAGAAGCTGTGGCTGCCCCATCCCTGGAAGTGTCCAAGGCCAGGCTGGATGAGGCTTTGAGCAACTTGGTGTAGTGGAGGATGTCCCTGCCCATGGCAGGGGGGTTGGAACAAGATGATCTTTGAGGTCCCTCCCAACCCAAACCATTCTGTGATTCTATCGTTTCATCAAGGATGTGTAATCTTGGTTAATGGACGGTGGACCTGGCTGAAGAACAAGTACACTATTGCATCCCGAGTTGAACCAATACCTTGTAAGGAATAAATGAGGAAAGGGGTGGTCCCCAAAAGACCCTCATAAGACCACCAGAAGAACTGGCGCAAGCGCGATAACTTCTGGTCCAAAGCCAAGAAGAATGACCTAGCCTGGTGAGGTGATCTGTTACATATTAGATAGGCTGGATCTTGTGTAAAACTCTTGCATAAATGTTGCAACTTCTCTCCTGGTTGATGTGCTTGATCTGTGGAAAAATCCACCGAGCGCCCAGGCCTGGATAAATCCGGTATCTCTCCTGAGCGTGTGGAATTGGTTCATTGCGCGCTGGGCACGAATCTGCTTTTTGGACAACAGTATCTTCCCCTCTCTGTGGCGTCTCCCGTGCAGCTTCTGGGTGACCCTTCAGCCCTGCGCTCCAAGATGCTCCGCAGTGACCCACGGGCCGGGGCAGTGG